GGTCTAGAAAAACCATATGAGAATTTCTACCTCTCCAAGTGGCACCTATCTCAATTATAGCCTGGTCTAGTTAGCCTGCTAACCGTTAGCTGAGCTGAAGTTAATTTGAAAATATAAGACAATATTATGCACTCATTTCAATGTTCTTTTCTGTTGAAAGTCCGTTAAAATTTCTACCAACTTTCGGACTCCATGTTTCGTGAACTCGCGGCGTAAATAATGTTAAAGTTCAAGGTTCGGCAGTCGCGTCCGGGTGAAGCCACGCCTCCAAATCACATGTTAGCCAATAAGATAAGAGCAATTTTTCCTGCCTCCACAACGTGCTCTGGTGATGACGACATACAATACATCGCCCAAACATTCATTCCAAACATTGGGCTTCCGGATTTTCTCACCACGGAGAATTTGAATATTAATTTGTGATGACTTACTATGAACCTTTTATTTTCCTTTTATTTTTCTATGTTAAACACGATAATTATTAAATGCTCAACTGTTTCTAACATCACAGTATCATCAGAATGTTTGATTCTTTTACTAACCCTCTTTGTGATGAAATAAATATTTCGGAAATGATTAATAATAATAAAAAAAAAGAAAACAACACTGACTCAAATTCGTTTACCCTCGGAGGAGGCGGTAGCAAGCCGAACGAACTTAAATTCAGAGTATCATAGATGGTACAATGATTAAAACGGACGCAAAGCAAACCAAAATCGTCTAAATTCACATTACATGAGACATGATTTTCTTGCACCTATACAAAATCAGTATTTTTTCTAGTGTGATATCCATTCTTTTTTTATATCTGCGTAAATTTTAGAACTATTTTTGTTCTCCTTAGATGTTTTCAGGGTAGTGCGAATGAGTTTGTTTTGAGTCGCGATCGCGTAATACTCGCGCGAATATTTATTATTAATTCATCATGACAGATCGCCCACCACCTTCATCCATTTTGAGGTTTTTCCAACCTAGGCCTAGTTCAGCAGCCAAGCGTGCAAAACAAGGTACAGTATCATTTATTTTCTTTTTTTTTTAATGTTTCGTAGCCCTAGCCTTCACTTTCGCAAACAATTTTCGTATTTCTTAGAAAACTCGAAATTCTGAGACTAGACCTAGGCCTAGGCTAGGCGGCCCTAGAGTTGGGATTCGAAATTTTCTCCAGCTTTTAATTATATTTAGTTATTATGTTTTCAAAATTTAGATACCGAAAATGAAATTTACAATCCCACCGTTGATGAATCAGACACGGAGATGCCTGAAACCGATTCCAATGCACAGAGTGAAGAAGAAAACGAAGACTCGAGTTCTTCAATGTCTGACCCCAATGAGCACAGTGCCATACAGGAAATATTTCCTGGCATGAAATACACCATTACCTGGTGTGCACAAAGGCAGGCTGTACAGCTTTGTCTGAAAAAGACCAAGAGTCTCAAAGCAAAAGAAAAGACAGGTACATTTCAGTTTTATAGGGTAGACGATGTATTTTTTGTCAATGTGTTTTGAACAAAATATAACAATTAAGATATAAAAATATATCACTAATATACAGTAATATAAGTATTCCAATCATGTGCATACTATATTTTTAAGAATTATTAAATAATACTTAATAATTAACATAATATTATGTAGGTTGGTTTGTGTTTATTTCATAACACGTAGGTTTCAACATCGGTGGATATTTGACAAAAATCATGGATACTGTGAAAAGACAAAACAATGGTGGTTAGTTTATGTAGAAGGTGTTGGAATGTATTGTTTGATATGCAAGAAAACCATGCCAGAAATGAGCAGAATAAGAGGGAAACATTCTCCACTACTCCATCAACCCGTTTCAAAAACAGCACATGCTCAGATCATACTTGCAGTCAAAAGCACAATGATTCTGTTGAAGCTGAATTGTTGAATCGGGTGTCATTTTTTCAGAAAGAATTGGATAAAAAGGAACAGGTATTTACAAATAAAATATTAGTAAATATTTATATCTAATTATAGCTATAAATATTAATAATGTAATTTAATATAGAAATTTAGAAAGGTAAATTTTTAAAATATAATATTCCATAATTTAGACACTTCTAACTGTTTTTACAATCCAAGCTTGATTATGATTTGCATTTATTCATGTCATAAAATTAATACAAACCATTCAATCATTCCAATTCAGATTATATCATAATTTGATTAACTTAAGCATTAATTAAACATTTATCAATCAGCTCAAATGTTTATCTATTTTGTAGGTCAAAGTAGAAGTCTTGCATAAAGCTTTTACAGCATTTTATTTCTTGGCTAAAGAACAGATTGCGAATTCCAAAGCAGGGTGTCTACTTCAACTGGTTGAGAAGTTAGGTGCTCATGACATCAAGTATTTCCACCACAGGTCATCTACATCAATCCGTGAAATGATTGTGACTCTAGGCGAAACTATTCAAAACCAAATCATTCAAAAAGTTAAAAATACAAATTTCTTTGGGCTTTTAATTGATGCCTTAACAGATATAGCTGTCATGGAACAAATGATAACATTTATCCAGTACTTCAATTTTGAAACATCTCAAGTTGAAACCAAATTTGTATTTATTGATGATTTGTTGAAGGAGTCTACATCAGCTGATGCTGAAATGATATACAATGTTCTAATTAGGAACATCGAAGAATTCCAGTTGCCTCTTGGTAAACTAAAAGGCTTGGTAACTGATGGTGCTGCTGTTATGGTTGGCAAAAACAATGGACTGGCTGCCAAATTAAAAGCAGTAAATCCATCCATTATTACTGTTCACTGCATCTGCCATAGGCTATCTCTTGCTTGCACAGACTCAAATGTTGCTCTAAAATATATTGATGAGGTACAACTAATTGTTACCCAATTGTGGAAACTGTTTGAATACTCACCCAAGAAGATGGCAGCTTACCTAAAATGCCAACAAAGCATCAAGAACATTGTCCTTGGTGAGTCCAATAAGAACATCATATGCAAAAAACTAAAGAAAGCATGCAAGACAAGATGGCTGTCATTTGATAATGCAGTAACAGCGGTATACGAGGAAATATTAGCTATTCTCCAAACCTTAAGAGAGTTACAAGCAGATCCAACATCATTTGGCTTGTTAAAGAAAATGAAGAAGATCAAATTCATTGGGACCATCTACATTCTTCATGCAGTCTTGCCAAAATTGGCAGAATTAAGCAGAGTGTTTCAAAGGGGTGATATTAATTTCTCGCTTATTTCACCCACTGTACATTATGTTCAGGACAGTCTGAGGCAAATTGTAATATCTGAGGAGCCACTGACCACTCTGATGGATGTTTTAAAACCAACTGGACGTCTGTCCATCCTCCAGCTTGAGTGCAGTGCGGAACAGTTGGACCAGTTAAAAGACCTCCTGGCCAAATATGTTGAGGCACTCAACACAAATATTGATAGCCGCTTGGGTGCAGCCTTACCAGTAATATCAAATTTTGGGATATTCAACCCTACTCTTGTTCCAGGAAGAGGTAATGCTGCATTTAATGATTATGGTGTAGCTGCGATGAAAAGCATATCTGACTTCCTCTTTCCTCAGGTAATATTACTAATTAGAGTACAGTATAAATATATGATTTGTTTTTTTATCTATAGTAAATAATTTGCTGACTGTAATTAATAAATCTATGTACTGACTTACCTTTGTAAATGATATTATATATTCTTGTTTGTAGAATGAAGATAAGAAGCAGGAAATGGTGGTAGAGTGGAGTAAATTAAAGTACAATCTGTTGGAATGGAAGACACTTGTACCAGCCCATTTGTCCAGTGCAGGGCAGATTACAGAGTGGTGCATGCTGCGAATACTACAATTATGCAGCATTCAATTTTTTCCACAAATGGTTTCACTGGTTGAAGTTATTCTTGCTCTTCCAATTTCCAATGCGTGGCCAGAAAGGGGAGTAAGTCAAGTAAGGCTAATTAAAACGAGACTCAGAAGCAGATTGAAAAATGACTTGCTTAATGCTCTACTCAGTATCGCTATAAATGGACCTCCTCAATTTACAGCAGAGTGTGACAAAATCTTTGAATTGGCAGTGGCAAGTTGGATGAAAGCAAAGCCAAGGCGTAAATTGAAGAGAGAAGCAGTAGTTTGTAGTGCTGTAGAGCAAACTGTAGACAAAGAGCAGCAGTCAAAAGTGGAGCTTGCAACTGCTATGGCATCACTGAATTTAGATTTGTCAGATGATAACATTTCTGCTGATGAGTCTGATTGAATACTGTACATCTTTTATAATAATAATTCTGGATTTTATATAGCACCTCACGTTGACACAACCTCAGACGCTTAACAACAACAGAGAAGAAAAAATTAAGTTCAAATGATTGGTTTGATGACTATCAATAAATGTTATTATTACAATGCTTTGGTAATTGAAATCAAATTTCAAGGCCTGTTACTTTCTTATTCATCCCAAATCCTTTCATTTTTCTTTCCCTTTTGCTTCTTGTCTTTCTTCCTTTCCCTTCCAATGTTCCTGATCTTTACTTTTCTTGTCCTTTCTTGTTTCCTTATCTTATCTTTCACATTCCTTTCTTAGATTCCTTATCTTTCCTTTCATTTTCTTATAATTCATATCTGTCTTTCATATTTCATTCTTATATTATCATTTCTTTTCTTTTCCTTTCTAATGTTTCCATGTCTATCTTTCCTTTCTTTTCTCTTCTCATGTTTCCTTTTCATTTTTAGTTTATCTTTCCTTTCCTATAACTTCTTTCTTATATTTCTTATCTTTCTTTCTATTTACCTTCTTATGATTCCAAATTCATTTCTTTCCTTTCCTTTCTTATGTTCCTTATCATGCTTACCGTTATCTTTCTTATGTTTCCTTATACAGTATGGTGTTGTACAGTATTCTTTTCATTTCGTTTCATTTATTTATTTTCCAGATTGTAACAAGCAACACAAAAAAAACCTATCACTATTCTGACAGATTGTCAAAAAGCAAACAAATTCACTGTACAAAGACTCTCCAACTAGTACTAGGACAGAAACAAACAAACAACATTCACCAAAAATTTATCTATGAGGAATATGTAAAAATATCAATTTTTTTAACAGCTAGTTGATTCTGAAAACTGTTAAAAAAAATACAGTGATGTAAAGAAATGCCATCAAATGGGCTTAAAAAACTCTAAAACCCTGGATTTACTCTCCTGTTACTTTCAAATTTCTCCTGCTACTCAAATTCATAAATAAACCCCTGTACATAGTACCGTCCTATTATACATTTATTGTATTTTATATTGTTATTGGCCAGAGGCTTATAGATGACCACTTGATGTGTTGTTGGGCTTTCCCATGTCCTCTCTAGTCACACCCCTGGTCAATATATATTTAAAAGGTATTTGAGGAATTCTCTATTCATAAAAATGTCTTCATCTTTTATAGGGAAGGGGATTTAAAAGGCGAATTTTCACTGTATGAATAAATCAAAGACAAGATCTTTTTTACCTGGGAGTATTTGTAAAAAATCAACTGAGTTTCTTGTTTAAAACCTGGACTGTTGATTGGGATTGGGGGAGGGGGGGACACTAATACATAAGGCCAAAATTAAAAAAAGTGTTTGTTTCCGGTCGATCGCCCGGGTGGATTAAAAAAAAAAAAAAATACCCGCAACGTAAAACTAAAAAAGGGATTTCCCCATCTCACAGACTATTTTGGTTATTAACGATCCATAATAAAGGCTATGCCCAAGGATCATTGTTGGTATACTGTCTACTGCTATGGCATCACTGAATTTAGATTTGTCAGTTAATAACACTTCTGCTGATGAGTCTGATTGAATACTGTACATCTTTTATAATAATAATTCTGGATTTTATATAGCACCTCACGTTGACACAACCTCAAGGCGCTTAACAACAACAGAGAAGAAAAAATTAAGTTCAAATGATTGGTTTAATGACTATCAATAAATGTTATTATTACAATGCTTTGATAATTGGAATCATTTCAAGGCCTGTTACTTTCCTATTCATCCCAAATCCTTTCATTTTTCTTTCCCTTTTGCTTCTTGTCTTTCTTCCTTTCCCTTCCAATGTTCCTGATCTTTACTTTCCTTGTCCTTTCTTGTTTCCATATCTTATCTTTCACATTCCTTTCTTAGATTCCTTATCTTTCCTTTCATTTTCTTATAATTCATATCTGTCTTTCATATTTCATTCTTATATTTCTTATCATTTCTTTTCTTTTCCTTTCTAATGTTTCCATGTCAATCTGTCTATCTTTCCTTTCTTTTCTCTTCTCATGTTTCCTTTTCATTTTTAGTTTATCTTTCCTTTCCTATAACTTTCTTATATTTCTTATCTTTCTTTCTATTTACCTTCTTATGATTCCAAATTCATTTAATTCCTTTCCTTTCTTATGTTCCTTATCATGCTTACTGTTATCTTTCTTATGTTTCCTTATACCGTATGGTGTTGTACAGTATTCTTTTCATTTCGTTTCATTTATTTATTTTCCAGATTGTAACAAGCAACACAAAAAAACCCTATCACTATTCTGGCAGATTGTCAAAAAGCAAACAAATTCACAATTCATTCACAAGACTCTCCAGCTAGTACTAGGACAGAAACAAACAAGGTTTAACATAAAAAGCAAAGCAGAAAAAAAAAGCACAATCATTCACCAAAACTTTATCTATAAGGAATATGTAAAAATATAAATTTTTTTTAACAACTAGTTGATTCTGAAAACTGTTTAAAAAAAAAAAACAATGATGTAAAGAAATGCCATCAAATGGGCTTAAAAAACTCTACATCCCTGGAGCGCAAGGGGGCTTCGCCCCCTTAACCCCCGACCAGGGCTCTGCCCCTGGACCCCCGATGGGGGCCTGGGCGGCCCCCTATACCGGCCTATTAGGATTTTCTCTCCTGTTACTTTCAAATTTCTCCTGCTACTCAAATTCATAAATAAACCCCTGTAACAGTTTTTCAGAATCAATTACTGAGCTCTAAAAAAGTTGATATTTTTACATATTCTTCATACATAGGCCTACCTAGCCTAATACTGTAAACCAGAAACTTTCGCGAATTGATAATTTCGGCCGTTTTCGTGACATTAAACTTTCGCGAATCTCAAAAAGCCTAAATTTAATTCATGAGAGGAATATCATACAATAGCTGAAAATATCGTATCGTGAGTTTAGGCCCAGGTTAAATAGGCCTACAGCCACTGTGTAGGCTACAGTATCTAGGCCTAGGCAGGCTAAGGCGCCATAAGCCTGGCAGGACTTAGCTTGCTATCCCAGGCACAGATAAGAAAGAGACAAGTTTACACACATACAGTACTCACTCATATGATATTCCTTAATTTTGTATGGTATTCAAGCATCCTACAAAATGAACAATGTTTATCAATGTTTTATTAACAAACTATTTTCCTGTAGGCCTAATATCGATTCAAATACATTGATTGATGATAATTGAACATCGTAGTATGTCATATGGTACGGAAAATTAGTTTCCCATTTGAACTTCTTAGTATACACTGCACAGTGGTTGCACATTAGACTGGGTTCCAGTCCCTAATCTTTGTCTTTAAATCTATTTTGACACCAATGGCGTTCCATATTACCTATTTGCTTTCATAGTATACTTTTTCTTGGATTAGGGACTGGGCAAACAGTGAGGATTTCGATTGCAGCCACCACGATTTCGTGGTGGGTGATGTATTAAACAACTTTGATTTCCGATTGGCTAATTACGGCGGCATAAATTTAAAATGCTAATAATGCTTCACCTCGGCCCAGCTATAAGGAGAATTCAGGTCAGCTCAGCTTCTGCACCGCGACGAGTGCTAGGCCCCTAATCGCAATTCGTCCAACCATGTATGGAGGTAATATTTATAGTATACGCACCTTCACAGAAGTGTGCCACATAGAAAGTAACCAACTTCACGCCGGTTAATAAATACAGTATTATTATCTATAGGCCTATATCGATATGATACAGCCAAACTCATGTTTTCTCGCCGGGTTCAGCACGTTCAGGTTTAGGCCTAGCCTAGAGAGCACAATAGGCCCTATTCACGTCGGGTTGGCAGACATCGATTGGAAATAGGCCTACGTATTAGATTTAACATACAGTAATGTAATTGTTGTAGTTAATATAACATTAATAATAATATAAATATTTATTTTTTTCAAACTGGCTAAGATTTAGGAACCTCAATTTGCTACGTACGAATGGGTGAATATCATCGTATCTATGGACAATTATTCACATCCTTTGCATAAGCTGTATTTCCGAGATTTAAAAACAATGAATAATTTGTTTTTGTTAATTAACATTTGATGAGAAGCTAAGTAATAAATTGTTGTTTAATGAGAAAGGTTATTGTTACATTGTACAGTATGTTGGTCAACAAAGAGGCCTAATTTATTTAATTTCATGACATCCATTTGTTTTGCAATACATTTATATTTTAATCTTAACTTAATCAACACATATTTCACCCTTTAGTGCCAATTTTTTTTCTTGTATTATTTCTAAGTTACAGTGGATTGTTCTGATCTCCATAGCTATCAAATTTATTTTTCAATAAATTAATCATTCTGTTTAATTTGTAAAAATAAAGAGGCTACATTGCAGGTAATGAAAAAACGATTTAGTTGCATGTATTTGGATTAAAATACATTGTAACTGTCATGGTACAAAACGATCTAAACCACAGTGATTTCAGATTTCAAACTTTATTTTTTGATCTTTTAGTGTTTTACTATATATATTATTAACTGCTTCAGGACAAAAAATAGTTTTCACTAATTAACAATTAATTTACAATATTAATTACCAGTCAATTTAAGGGTCAATGCAAAAGAATACAGGAAGGATTATACTGTATTTAACTCTTCATTATCATAAGTATATTTCGGTACAATTAATATCGAAATGCACTAGGTTTGGTTTACAGGCTTTGTGCTTCTCCATCAGATGCTAAGTGTCTCAAGTTTTATAACTCAACATCGAATTAAGTAAAAGGGCTGTGGTATTATATCCTCTGTTAATTGATGGAAGTGGCAGTGGGGATAATCCGGCTGGAC